TGATGAGAGAGAATCATGGATCGGCTGCCTCCTGCACGCCCCCCACTGGGGATCGAGCCCACAACCCGGGCCTGTGCCCTGACCGGGAATCGAACCGTGACCTCCTGGATCCCAGGTCAATGCTCACTGAGCCCCACCGGCCGGGAAATAATTGCCCTTTAATTGCACCTGCTGGCTTTTCCCTGCTCAGCGGGAAACCCCCTACAGGCTCACAGACCACTCAGTGAGAGCACCTGGCGAGCGGGTAGGTGCCGTCCCCTCCTGGGGGCACAGTGCACACGCTCGGGGAGGACCGGCTGGGAGAGGGTGGACCAAGTGGGAGGGAACCTCTGTGAGGCGCTCGCACGCGGGCCGCCTCCCAGGAGAGCGCGGGGTGCACTTACCCTTCCCGGGCGCCCGGAGCTGCCTGTCCTGTCACACAGTTTCCTCCTGGGCGAGTGGCTGGGCCTCGGCCGGCCTCTCAGCTGACGGGGGACACAGGGGCTCGGCCGTCAGGGGTGGCTGCCGGGCTGGCCCTCCCCCGGGGAAATCGGTCATGGTGTTTGGTGAGATGGAAAGCTTTCGACCCGGGGAGGCAGCTTCCCCGTGCTGAGCACCTGCGTCCGAGCGCACGGGCTTCTCATCCGGGAAGGAGCCTGCGGCCGCGGTGAGGGCAACAAGGGGAGGGGGTGCAGTGAGGGAGAGCGAGCGGGCAAACGGGGCCCCGGGCCAGGGTCATCCTGAAGGCGGCTCCTGGATGAACAAGAAAAGGAAAGGAATGGCTCAGTGGTTGGTGCCTCACAGACACGCCGCCCGGTGGGGCCGGGGCCAGGGAAGACCTGCTGGGGTTTGGGGCCGGGGTCAGGTTTGGGGCCGGGAGGCTGTGGTGACAGGAGGGACCACGTTGCTGAAATCCGATGAAACTGGGAGCGCAGGGAGCGCCGCGAGGCCGTGTGTCACCGCGACAAGCGCCCTAATGAATAATTAAACGCCTAGCAGCGCGGCTTCGGTGGAAAATGAGAGTTTCACGGTGGATGGACCGCGATCTGTTTTGTAGGATTGTGGGCGTCGCCGTGAGGGGAGGGAGGGGGTGCTGGTGACATGAACGCCGGGCGGCTCGGAGGCCGAGGATCTTCCCAGAACCCCCGGCGACCCCCACGAGCGCTTCCTGAGAAACGGAGGGACGTGCAGCCCGAGCGGCCTCACCCCCCTGCGAGGTCGGGGGC